CTTCAGAGGCACCACCACTTACATGCCACCAATGTCGGTCAGTGCCGCCCCCGCGACTAATCATTGGTCCTCGTCCCGGCTTCTGTTCACGTCAACAGATGTAGGAGTGGCTACAAACGGGACCAACAGCGACGTGGTGCACACCATAAAAGAGCTGCTCGCGAGACGGCTGGCCCCGTTCCATCATGGGCAGCACCCGATCGTTCGCGCGGCCTCGTGGCGTCGAGCGCCCCCAGCAGCGGCCGAGGCTACTCGTCGTCCTGGTCGCTGCCGCACTCTTGAGCGCTTGTCACTCGCTGCGTGTAGCCACGTCAAAACCTCCGGCCACACTGGCACCCGAGAGCGTCGTCGAGCCGCAGGAAGGGGCCTTTGCTACCATCATGTATGACCACGGAGAAGACAGCGAGGCGCTATTGCTGGCCACGCGCGTGCTCATGCGCAGTGTCAAGGACTCGGGCACCCAGTACCGCCGCCTGGTGATCGTGCCGCAGGATGGCCTGCAGGCGAGCAGCGAGAAGACGCTCAAGGATGACGATCCGGACGTGGAGATCGTGCGCACGTCGATCCCCAACGTGTTTCGGCACATGCCGCTGACCGATCAGCGCACGCAGCTGCTGCACATGCGGAACAAACTCGTGATCTGGGACGACCCACAAATCTCGTCGCTCAAGCGCGTGGTGTACCTGGATCCAGAAAACCTGGTGCTGCGCAACTTGGACGAGATCTTTGCCTGCCATGAGTTATGTGCCGTGGATAATGGGCAGTCGGTCGTGTACTCGAATGGACTGCTCGTGATTTCTCCCGAGTGTCTGGCGGCGCGGAACTTGTACTCGGATGCTATCGATGGCTTTATGATCACGGGCCGCGACTACAACTACATTGGTATCATCCAGGGCTTCATCCCGGGCCTTTTTGAAGCATTTGAGGAGAGTCCACTGTTTTTCCTCGATTGGGATAATGACAAGAACAGAGAAGAAAGTGATGGAGCAGACGATGCCGATGACACGGAGGATAAAGAGGACAGTTCTATCGTCCACCGGCTGCCCTTCTACTACAGTATCAACCACATGGTCTTCTATGAACGCATGAACTGGGACCTCTACAAATGCAAAGAAAGAAATCTGGCTACCGGAGACATTCCTGGTCCATTGCTGAGCTACAAGTATAGTGGAGCTACGCTCAAGCCGTGGTTTTGGCTACCGTATGTCTACTTCCAGGTATTTTGGCACTGGCAGGACGTGCGTGGCCGCCTTAACGAGAACCACTTCGGCTTCTTTCTTGGCAAATTGATGTCATCCTTTGTGATTGCTGCTTTCGTCTGGTTCGCCTACGTTTCACTGTGCTTGAGGCTGTTTACCGAGCCTAGTGGACGCCCGAGACGTTTATCAAGCTCGGAAGTACCTACGCCTGGTAACGCCCAGCCGCTGTTCGTCGATGTGTTCAACTCGCGTGCAGTGCGTCGAGCATGCCAGTTTTCGTGCAACGTGCTATACGCCGTAGCATCCATGCCCCTAGTGTCGGCCGTCTCGATCGTCGCGCTGCTTACCTGGTGCAGCATTCAGGCAATCCCCACCACGATGCAGCCTAGCTACGCGGGCAAGCTCTGGCTGATCGTGCACGATCTGATGCTAACCACAGTGCTGCTCATATTCGCAGTAGCGCACACGCTGCGTACTGTCCATTGGAAAATAGACGAAGTGCCTGCAACTTCAGACCTGTTGGTGGGTGGAGTCTGGTGGTGTCTGAAGAAGCTGCCGCTGTTGGTGTTGGCGCAGCTCCAGTACTTGTACGTGATCGGGCGGACTGATTGGTTCCAAGACCCGGTGCTTCGTATAGTGATGATCAGCTTCTTTTTCGCCATTGCTATCTGCGTGGAAGGCCGTATCCTTGTGGTTGAGATGCATCGCGTCACGCGGAACTGATAGCTGAGACGGTATGATTGCATGACGTAACAAGACCTGCCAACTGTACTTGAAAGTCCATATTGTGTCACATCCAGGACACCGAGACCTCTTTTTGATGCCTTCGATACGCAGAAAAGCTGACAAGTTGTTGTTCTGGTACGGCACTCGATAGCTGTGCGCCAATTCGAAATCGTGAAATGTACTGCATCTTCTCCTGCTTTGCTAGTAGTCCGACCGGTGTTTCTTCTAGTCGACACAAAGACAGTACACCACAACATATTGTCAGATGACGTGCTCCACAACGACCAATAGAGGGGGAGCGTATGTAGCGACCCTCCTCTTCCTTTGCTGCTTCGTTCGACACACCTGACTGACCTGGAGTTCCTGAGTCGACAGCGGCTGCTTGCCACCAGTTATCGTCCGTTCACGTGGAATTTCCGTCCGTTCGTGCTGCGGTGTTGTTGCAGCTGCTGTTGCTGCTGCAGCTGCGTCGTTTCGCAGGTCCTTTACGACGGCAGCCAGTGCCTCTGGGTTGACGCCTTTTTGAATGAGCGCCATGAGGATAGCCAAAGTGTCGCGGTCTAGTCCGGTATTGAGCAAACGGGAGAGTTCGTATACGGCTGCAGACGTCACAGAAGCAGAGGCAAAGAGGGAGGCAGAGGGAGAGAGATTAGTGCATGTCAATACACGCAATGGCGGACTTCGATCTGACGCGACGCACTTTCCATAACTTCTGCCCGAGACGCAGTGACGTCGCTCATGTTCGCGAGATTTCTTACTAAAGTGGCTGCGCAAAGCGGAGAAGCGTACTGAGATGGTGATTCTTGTCAGTCGAGGTTACGTCGACTTTCGACTTGGTAGCTCTTCACTTTTTATACAAACATGATTGGGCAGAGTGGCGTCTTCACTATCTACGACAGTCGGGTGCTGAACAAACGAGGTTTTTTTACGGTAAAATAAAACTAGTGAGGCTAGGCGACAAATAATGTGTTTGAGAGATCTTAGTATCCGCACTTTACATTGACACTTACATTACGTATGCGAAGCATCTGTTCAGTGTAACGCGGTGAGCCTGAGCCCGTTACGTATTCCCGACATGAACTAATGTGGCAATGCGATTCTTATCGAAGAGGTTCATTCCTTTGTTTATCACTTCAGATCGTCAAGCTTAATCGCTTTTGCCAATCGACTGACATAGGTCATTATAGCAACCCACA